TCACCCTCTTTCTCTTCTCTTGATCGCCCTCTCTCTCTCCTCTTGATCACCCTCTCTCTCTTCTCTTGATCGCCCTCTCACAGGAGAACACTTCACTGTAGGGTTTCTGCCATGTCTCCACTTTAGTTTGACTCTCTCTCTTCTCTTCTCTCTCTTCTCTGTCTTCTCTCTCTTCTCTCTCTCTTCTCTTGCTCGCCCTCTCTCTCTTCTCTTGATCGCCCTCTCTCTTCTCTTGATCGCCCTCTCTCTCTTCTCTTGATCACCCTCTCACTCTTCTATCACCCTTTCTCTCTTCTCTTGATCGCCTTCTCTCTCTTCTCTTGATCGCCCTCTCTCTCTTCTCTTGATCGCCCTCTCTCTCTTCTCTTGATCACCCTCTCACTCTTCTATCACCCTCTCTCTTCTCTTGATCGCCCTCTCTCTCTTCTCTTGATCGCCCTCTCTCTCTTCTCTCTCTCTTCTCTTGATCACCCTCTCACTCTTCTATCACCCTCTCTCTCTTCTCTTGATCGCCCTCTCTCTCTTCTCTTGATCACCCTCTCACTCTTCTATCACCCTCTCTCTCTTCTCTTGATCGCCCTCTCTCTCTTCATCACCCTCTCACTCTTCTGTCACCCTCTCTCTCTTCTCTTGATCGCCCTCTCTCTCTTCTCTTGACCACCCTCTTTCTCTTCTCTTGAGCGCCCTCTCCTTCTCCTCTTGATCGCCCTCTCTTCTCTTGATCGCCCTCTCACAGGAGAACACTTCACTGTAGGGTTTCTGCCATGTCTCCACTTTAGTTTGACTCTCTTCTCTCTCTTCTCTGTCTTCTCTCTCTCTTCTCTCTCTCTTCTCTCTCTCTTCTCTCTCTCTTCTCTTGATCGCCCTCTCTCTCTTCTCTTGATCACCCTCTCTCTCTTCTCTTGATCGCCCTCTCTCTCTTTTCTTGATCACCCTCTCACTCTTCTATCACCCTCTCTCTCTTCTCTTGATCGCCCTCTCTCTCTTCTCTTGATCGCCCTCTCTCTCTTCATCACCCTCTCACTCTTCTATCACCCTCTCTCTCTTCTCTTGATCGCTCTCTCTCTCTTCTCTTGATCGCCCTCTCTCTCTTCTCTTGACCACCCTCTCTCTCTTCTCTTGAGCGCCCTCTCTCTCTTCTCTTGATCACCCTCTCACAGGAGAACACTTCACTGTAGGGTTTCTGCCATGTCTCCACTTTAGTTTGACTCTCTCTTCTCTTCTCTCTCTTCTCTCTCTTCTCTCTCTCTTCTCTCGCTCTTCTCTCTCTCATCTCTCTCTCTTCTCTTGATCGCCCTCTTTCTCTTCTCTTGATCGCCCTCTTTCTCTTCTCTTGATCACCCTCTTTCTCTTCTCTTGATCGCCCTCTCTCTCTCCTCTTGATCACCCTCTCTCTCTTCTCTTGATCGCCCTCTCACAGGAGAACACTTCACTGTAGGGTTTCTGCCATGTCTCCACTTTAGTTTGACTCTCTCTCTTCTCTTCTCTCTCTTCTCTGTCTTCTCTCTCTTCTCTCTCTCTTCTCTTGCTCGCCCTCTCTCTCTTCTCTTGATCACCCTCTCACTCTTCTATCACCCTCTCTCTCTTCTCTTGATCGCCCTCTCTCTCTTCTCTTGATCGCCCTCTCTCTTCTCTTGATCGCCCTCTCTCTCTTCTCTTGATCACCCTCTCACTCTTCTATCACCCTTTCTCTCTTCTCTTGATCGCCTTCTCTCTCTTCTCTTGATCGCCCTCTCTCTCTTCTCTTGATCGCCCTCTCTCTCTTCTCTTGATCACCCTCTCACTCTTCTATCACCCTCTCTCTTCTCTTGATCGCCCTCTCTCTCTTCTCTTGATCGCCCCCTCTCTCTCTTCTCTTGATCGCCCTCTCTCTCTTCTCTTGATCACCCTCTCACTCTTCTATCACCCTTTCTCTCTTCTCTTGATCGCCCTCTCTCTCTTCTCTTGATCGCCCTCTTGATCTGAGGGATGCGTTTTCATGGAAACGGCATATGATAACACCCCATAATTGACGTAGAGCTGTTGAGGGCAGGACCATTAACCATTATCTGAAGTCTGCTGCTCTGAGCATGTCAGTTGGAGTTATGACATCATCGTGTTCCATGACACAGGTGTTTATATTTGAGCTAACGAGGTGTCCAGAGATCAAAGGTTTCCATTGTTCTGAATGAGAGATAAACCTGTTACATGTGAACGTTTTGTTGAAGAACCGTAACAGATATCGGTGAAATTTCAAAGCGTGAAGCATCTCAAGGACCTTGAGTATTTGAAGTGTGCTTTTTGTGTACTTTCGGGTCAATAATGTGGCCTTTTTGGCAGATTAACTAAAGTTGTGCGGCTGCTGCTGTGAGGAAATATCAGCCTGAAATTACAATGGACTTTAATGGAGACATGTTGAAAGTTTTTGTCACTTCATGCCCTCAAGAGGCATTTTGTTTAATTATTTTTTTGCTTAATTATTTGTCATTTTTCAAGCTACGAGATGTTTTCCTACGTTTGTCATGAAGAATTATGTCTCAGGAATGTAGGGTTTGGTAATTATGGCAGTTTTAAAAAATAATATGAAGGCAAATTTCAAGATTTCCTACACTCTAGCTGTGACATCACGCACTCTAGTTAATGTTAAAATCTGAAGAAGGCCTCTGTACCAAGGTCTGAACAATGTTTAATATCTGTAAAAGTAAGAATCAGATTTACAAGTGTTACACGAATAATGTCAGAAAGATGTGTAACATTTTAAAGTTGGAATGAGGTTTCTGAGTGAAAGTATGAATGAACAGTTAGCAGTTGAAGTTGCATGAAGATTTGTTGAAGTGTGAAGATTTTCTCCATTGACTTCAATGGTTAAAAATGTGATGAATTATGGGATGTATCTCTGGAATTATGAAAGTTATGAATGAGAAAAGTAATAGCCATCGATTCCCGACCGAGCTGAACGTTTTGATGTTTGAACGGAGTTTCTGCGATGTTCAATGCGGGAGAAGAAGACCGGCAAAATAACGGGCGGAATTATAATAAAGAATTTCGTGTGTAGAAGAACAGATAGTTGGCATTCTATGGGCTCAGAACAGTCTCATAATACACACATGCACACATAAGGATTCACACTTGTATTTCATGATCCGCAAAAGGATTCACACTTGTATTTCCGGATCCACACTTGTGTTTTTTAATGCTCACACAAATGTGTTCCGTTTCATATACATTTTATATTTTATATAAATAAAATCCAAATACAGAAAAAAGTTTTACATATGTATTTTTGATCCTCACATATTTGTTTTCCATTTAAAACCGCTGCACCTACAAACACAAACCGCTTTCTGTGCATGGATCGCTGTGCATTCGTGTGTGGGTTTTTTGAGTCTCCCCTGACGGTGACCCGATTCGTACTTGTAATTTTTCTATCTATAGCCAATCAGATGTCTCCTCAATTCTAAGCCAATCACATGAGCGCGCCCCCACGAGGGTAGATTTCTTGCGTTCATGACGTAGCGCTTCATGTACGCATTTTGCGCTGTCCGGAGCTGACAGGTCCATGGAACCTGCCTCCAGGCGCTAATCTCAGGACACTTCCACTCTCAGTACATTGCCACTTTCCGAGCAGGAAATGCACGCAAATACAAGCCTTTATATTATTAAGGTACAGTGCCACTTTCCGAACCATTAATGAATGCTTGTGTACACAAAAACGGCAGGCAAAACCGTTTTAAATGTGTGTTTCCTGTATGGCGAATACAGCTGCTTTATTTATGTCTGTATGAAGTTGTTGTGAGTGTGGAGGGAGCAGCTACAGGTTAGCTTAGCCTAATCGATCAGTGCACTACGAAGCCAGAGCTAGACAGTGAACTGTCAACGGGGGGAGCCCCGCCAGTCATTATCGGCCGATATTCACTCTTAATAGTTTGATCGGTGTTCTCTATAAAGGCCGATCATGAGAGCTGGATCTGATCGATATGGACATAAACGCGAGTGAAGTTTTAGCGAGCTGCATGAGAAACTGACGGGCTGTCAGGAGAGAGGGAGGGAGAGAGGAAAAAAGAGATGATCCTTACTCCCGTGTTATTAGCCATATCCGGTCATAGTCCCGTAATTACCTGCTAACGGAAACTCTGCTACACAATTCTTCTTCTTCTTCTTATTATTATTGAAACATGACCGGTAAGTTTCAAATTTGTCCGGTCAAATAAATTCTGTCCGCGGAAACCCTGCTCCGGACAGCGCAAAATGCGTATATGAAGTGTCATGAACGCAATAAATCATACCCTCGTGGGGACGCGCTCATGTGATTGGCTTAGAATGAAGGAGACATCTGATTGGCTATAGATAGAAAAAATTACAAGTACGAATCGGGTGACCGTCAGGGGAGTCTCAAAAAACCCACACACGAATGCACAGCGATCCATGCACAGAAAGCGGTTTGTGTTTGTAGGTGCAGGGGATTTAAACGGAAAACAAATATGTGAGGATCAAAAATACATATGTAAAACTTTTTTCTGTATTTGGATTTTATTTACATGTATATGAAACGGAACACATTTGTGTGTGCATTGAAAAACACAAGTGTGGATCCGGGAATACAAGTGTGAATCCTTTTGCAGATCATGAAATACAAGTGTGAATCCTTCTGTGTGCATGTGTGTATTATGAGACTGTTCTGAGCCCATAGCATTCCCACTAAATAAGTGATTAAATGCTACAGTATTCAGCAAACACAACTGCAGAGCTGCAACATTGCAAACAGACTAAGTTCTACAATACCAAGTTGTCTTTTTGTATTTGTGAATTAAGCGCCATCTCATGGTTAAATCCTGTAATTGAACAAATGGGGAAATTTGGCAACGCCCTCTAGCAATTTGGCAACGCCCCCAGCCACTGGGATCCGCTGGGTTTTTGGTTGGAATCTGCCCACTGGAGTCCTATCTGGAGTGCTACATCTGTAAGTGTCTTTACAGCATTTTGCCATGAAGATGAATCAACCTGAGTTTCTTTCTTTTCAGGAGTGAAAACTGAAGACAATATCTGACAGGACTCTGGAATAACTCACAGCAGCATCACAGCTAACACCAGGGACAGAGACATCACACATTATTACAGAGATACATTCAAGGAGAGAACCTTCATGTTTAGAAGATCTACTTTAATCTAGCAATCTTGGCTGTAAAAAGCACACAGTCACTGTAACTAATGACTTTTACTGTAGTTATTCTGCATTATATTCATATATAGGCTAATAACCTCATCATGCTGAACTAAAGGGTCAAACTGCAAGTTTATCTCACCAGTTATTAACTACCAGCAGACTATACATAACTAGCAAGCCAACCAGTGACCTTGTACTTGCAGTAAAGTTAGCCATTAGCATAGTGACTCTAGTAAACCAAGATGGCTGACCCATACCAAAACAACGTATACCACCAAGGAGGAGGTGACAGCTATGGGAGTTACGGAGAAGGTGGAGGCCATGATGGATATGGTTACCAGGCAGACTACCCTACCCAGGAAGAGGATGCTGCGAGCGATGCGACAGAAGGACATGATGAAGAGGATCAGATGTACGAAGGAGAATATCAAGGGATACCCCACCCTGACGAGGTGAAGGCTGCACAGAGAGCAGCACGGTGAGGCCCAGCACGCTGGTTCTATGTGTTCTTGTGAAAATGCGCAGCATTAGCAGAAGTCTTAATGATTCCAAGCATTCTACTTAAACTTAGGTTAGCCTAGCATACCTAATAAGTAAAGATAACTGACCATTGTTAAAATAACATGGAGGTGGGGACAGCTACTGCATTTAATTTAAGTGGTCCTAATCCCCCCACTTTGGGGAATTACAAGTAGTGAGGTTACTACTTTTGACATATTTCTGGTAACACACCAGACATATACTGTAAGCATATCATAGTTTATCAGAGGTATTACATGAGGACTTTCTAAGATGCCAAAACACACATTCAGGAAGTGAGAGGATTGGCACCTTATATAGATATTCATTTGAGTATAGAAGCATATGGGTCTATATAGGCTACTGTCTATGAAATGAATATATTATTTTGAATGGTTTCTGTCTGAAGACATTGTGATTCTTAAAAGGATCAATAAAACGATTTGATAGAACAGCAATAACTAGAGGAAAGCAACAATACCAATGATAGAATAATTGGGTTTCACTATCACTGCCTCTGTCATTTTAACCATGACTTGGCATTGCACAAAGATTTTTGCACAATGGATACAAATGTAACAACATCAATTCTATAGTTTTTTGTAATTGTGATCAAACACAAACAGTTAAAAGTATAACGTGGTATGGTTTACTCTTGGTTGTATGAGATTATTATCCATAGTGTACAGTAGGTGGCGGTCAGCATGCCACTGTGAGACTGGGCTGGAAGTAGCAGACAGGAGTTACGAAATGGAAGTGAAGCATTGTATTGCTGTGGAAGGGGGCAGCAGCAAATCGTATCTTACCTATCACCTAAAAGAAAGGCCTGCCTAAAAAATCTGTAAAGTCTGTTTGAGTCGACGCTATCTTAAAAATAGTCTTCTGAAAGACATTTAAAGCAGGCAACTGTTATATCTACTCCACCAAAGCACTGATGCTCTGTTAATCAGTATTATTTTGTGAATAGAGGTAGACCAGCATCTCCTGTGTTCTGCTTGGTAAAATCAAATGAAAACCCACTTCAAAACATATGAACGATCCCTTTAAGGGTTTGAAATCCCTAGATCTGTCAAAAAACCCATCTTCATTCATCTTTAAGACTTCTTCTTGTTCTCTTTCTGTGTCCCAGGGCTAAAACTAGAGCAGCTGGCAGTGCGGTGTCTGAACTAGAAGAGTTATCTGAACAATACGAAGACATCATGGAGGACTGTGGCCACGGGAAGTTCCAGTGGACGCTGTTTGTAGTGCTGGGCCTGGCTCTGATGGCGGATGGAGTCGAGTGTTTTGTGGTAGCGTTCGTTCTACCCTCTGCAGAAAAGGATCTGTGTCTTTCCAATGCAGAGAAAGGGATGCTGGGTAGGGGCTTTCATGATTTACTTCTGCTTACAGTGTGGCTTCTGTGTGGGAAGTGTTTTAGTCTGTGCTGCAGCGACCGAGTTGACCGCTATAGTTATGTATTGATGTGTTGACTCCCCCTGGTTATAAAGAGTTTCTCTGTTCAAGAATTCATCAGCCAAGGGATACGATCAAGGCTTTAAACTAGACATGATCAGGTAGAGCCAGGGTTAGTGTGACATTTACCAGAGAGGGATTATATTCAAGTGGTTTAATATGTATTACCCTTGGTTTATGACTCTTAATTCAAAATTGGTGACATTCTCAGCTTTTTTCCCAAATGCATGGCTAAGTACCATACTTTCTCACATCTTGGCTTTACTTAACCTTAACTACAGCAATGTTTAATCAAACATGCCTATAGTTGTAGGCCTTGTTTATGTTATATCTAATCAAAGCAAATCATGGAAAGTACATTTTCTGCTCTTTTTTATGAATTATCTGAACAATACAAGCTCATATTGCTGCTCCTGTTCATGCAAAGTAAACACTTTCACAATATTTACCAGGGACCTTCAGATATTTGGTCTAACGCTCACCCAACTCACAACCTAGGGTTCAACTTGTCCCCTAAAGTAATCTACCTTCTGCCGAAACCCGGGATCGAACCAGGGACCTTTAGATCTTCAGTCTATCTCTCTCCCAACTGAGCTATTTCGGCACAAAAACCCAAAATACGACGCTCGTGAATTATCAAGGGGGGGGGGGGGGTGTTGTCTGCCGTCAGCAAACCAGGCCGTTGACGTCCGGCCTTCCTGTGATTCTCCAGAACACACAGCTGGCCAGCGGCCCACCGGGATAAGTCCTGACTCTCACAATGGCCGATCCGTACCTCCCCTGCCTCCCCTGACTGCTGCAAACTTTCTGTACGGAAGAGCCGCGGAGGACCGGAGTCCGGGCGATGCTGCTCCTCCAAGGAAGAGACACACGTTCACTAAGCCGAACAAACTATATCCGGTCACAGTGATCTGCTATTTTAAAGTAAAGTCAACACATATCGACCCTCAATATAGTCTATATTAAGAACGAGAAAAGTTTTAACATATATATATTTTTTGTAAACATATGATAAATGTGTGAGGGTGATGACGTCAGAGCATCGTCCTATGTGCCCCGGACAGCCCCGGCCCAATTTAACCCCTGACTATAGGTAGAAAGGACATGTATACATATGTGGCAGAAGCCGCAGATGATACGGGGTAGGTGAAAGTATTTTGTTGAGGTTCATTTGATAATACACTTCACACTAGTCCGACAACGGCACCTTGGGAATTGCACCCATGGAAATATAGCAGGTTTTTCGCTAAACACAGACACACAGGTTCCAATACTGAGGGGCAGGAGACGTGGTTCCAATTATCACAAATATTACATTTTATTAAACACCATGCAATATTTAAAAGACAGTTTAAAACACAATCATACATGGGGCTATAATAAAAAGGGGAAAACTAATTAGGGGCGCTGAGGCTTACCAGTGAGGGGACAGGGTCAACGAGTGAGGAGAGGGATCCCAAACAAAAGTGAAGTAACCCCAGTCACACGTGTCCAACACTCTCACACTCACACTGGAAGAAATTAAAACTCAAAAATGGGGAAACCACCACCCGGGACCCCAGCACCGCCACCTTCGGCTCTCAGTAACTAAAAAGGGGGACAAAGAGGGAAACAATTAATGGGGTCCAACAAACAAACACAATAGAGTGGCGAAGTCCCTCCCCTTCCGGTTGAGCTCCATGGGACCTTATTTCGGAAAAGTTATGCATTGAAGTCAATGGAGAGAGAAAGATTATCTTTCGATCCCGTTTGAATTGTGCCACGAATTACACATATAATGTTTGTCAATTTAAAAGATAATTTTGCAAGTCAAAAAAAAAAATATATGTCGTAAAACTGTGAAGTAACACTTTTTTTGTGTGAAACCGCTCAATGAACTACATCTCCTGTCTCGCACCACACACCAAGACGGCCGTCACGTTGGCACATTTCACTTCTTTCTTTCAGAATGAGGCGAAAAGTATTAAAAGAGGTGAAAATCACTACAAGTCTGGGCATGTTGAGAGCTGTACATACACATAAGGGGAGTTAGTCGGTTCCGTAAGAGCCAGCATGCGGGACCGGGATTCTGGGATTTGTAGTCTTTCTAGTTGCGTATTTTTCATAATCTTATATTTCAACAGTTTTACGACAAACTGTGACTTTTTTTACATGGAAATTTAAGATTGACAAACATCATATGTGTAATTCGTGGCACAATTCAAACGGGATTGAAAGATAATCTTTCTCTCTCCATTGACTTCAATCAATCACAGGACCTAATTAAATTCGAATGAAAAATGTTGTCTGTTTTAAAAAAAAAATATCGCTATATAATAATAATAATAATAATAACAAATTATATTTATATAGCGCTTTTCTACAACTCAAAGACGCTTTACAATATGAGGTTAGGGTAGACAAACAAGGACAGGCACAACAAAAAAATTAAATAAACAGAAAAGGCAGTCAAGAGGAAGTTGATTGAGAGGGGGGGGGGGCTTATGGATAGACAGAGATGGGTTTTGAGGTGGGACTGAAAGACTGTGAGGGACTCAGAGTCACGAAGATCTTGGGGGAGGGAATTCCCGAGCCTAGGAGCTGCCACTGAGAAGGCTCTGTCCCCAATGCTGCAGAGTTTGGATGTTGAAATGGATAGGAGTCCGGCTGCGGTGGATCTGAGGGACCGTGGGGGTTGATAGTAGAGATGGCAAATCCGGATCCTTTTATGGACTCGGAGTCTTCTGAGTCAGTCATTGAAGAGATCCGGATCATACGAGTCCTTTGAGTCATATGAGTCAGCATCACCAAGAGCGTAGAAATCCTACCGGTGAAACCGAAAAGTTGTTGCATTTCATGAGCATATTAAACTAACGTTACATTAACCTCCGCAACACAGTGTCTTTTGCTTTAATAAAAAATGTTGATCACAAAAAAAAGGGTTATTTTGGGATTTGGCGAATCTGAGTCTGCTGTTGACTCGTGCATGACGACGAGTCTGCTGGATCTCTGGATCTGCTGCTATATGGTTACGGCTCTGAGTCCGCACGAGTCTGCTGTGTTTTGCACAGTGAGTCAGGATTTGCGAATCTCTGAGTCTGCTGTTGACTCGTGCACAATAGCGGCGGGAAGTAGGGGTGCTGGAGGCGGGGCTGCGAATGGTGTACATTTGAAAAACTTCATGTTACTGTTGTTGAAATCTCTCCCCACTTTTGTCCGCACCCCCTAAGTAAAATGACTTCCCAGTTCCCGCGGTTATGCTCGTGCATGACGAGTCTGGATCTCTGGATCTGCTATACGGTTACGGCTCTGAGTCCCCACGAGTCTGCAGGAAGTGAAGGAAGTTCCCTTGATTCAGTGAGTCAGGATTTGCGAATCTGAGTCTGCTGTTGACTCGTGCATGATGAGTCTGCCTGGATCTCTGGATCTGCTACGGTTACGGTTCTGAGTCCCCACGAGTCTGCAGGAAGTTTCACTGATCCACGTTCCCTGAGCCAAACGATAACTTCTGGCAGCTATATTACTTGCTAAAGGCTAGGCAGATGGACTGGGGTACGTTGTAATGTGATTTGACATGTTATAAAGAGAGTAGCGAGTGACGCAATTTAAAGTTTTAATTTGTACGTCACCAGGTGTAGGACTCAAAGGACTCGGGTTAATCGAGAGGGGAGACTCGTCACGACCAGCTCATTACTAGGATCCGGGTTAATGATCCGGATGAATCAGGACTCACCCATCTCTAGTTGATAGGGGGTGAGAAGGTTTGTGAGATAAGGGGGGGCCAGATGGTGAAGTGCTTTGTAGGTGAGGACCAGAATTTTGTAGTTGATGCGGTGGGAGACAGGAAGCCAGTGGAGGTCTTTGAGGACTGGGGTGATGTGATGCCATGATTTGGTATGCGTGAAGAGTCGTGCAGCTGCATTTTGAACCCGTTGGAGTCTGTTGAGGGATGTAGTGCTGATGCCGTAAAGAAGTGAGTTGCAGTAGTCAAGGCGGGAGGAAATGAAGGCGTGGATTAGTCATCAGACGACACTCTCTCACTCACCGCACAGCCAAAAGTCACAAGAACTGTCTATCAAACAGTGACACGTTCGCTGACATTCTGTAAAATGTAAATAAACTCTGAACAGTAAAACACATGAAAACATCAACATTATAACCAGTCTGTTACAATACATTATTACGTTTAAATGCGGTTACCACTAGGGTTGCAAAGGGGCGGAACGTTTCCGGTACGTTTCCGGTAAATTTCCATGGGAAGTTAAGCTGGGGAATTTTGGAAATATTCCATATTGGAAACCTTCCATGGGAATTATGGGAATTTATGGGAACTAACTGGGAATTATGGGCTCAGAACAGTCTCATAATACACACATGCACACAGAAGGATTCACACTTGTATTTCAGGATCCACACTTGTGTTTTTCAATGCACACACAAATGTGTTCCGTTTCATATACATGTAAATAAAATCCAAATACAGAAAAAAGTTTTACATATATATTTTTGATCCTCACATATTTGTTTTCCGTTTAAATCCCCTGCACCTGCAAACACAAACCGCTTTCTGTGCATGGATCGCTGTGCATTCGTGTGTGGGTTTTTTGAGACTCCCCTGACGGTCACCCGATTCGTACTTGTAATTTTTTCTATCTATAGCCAATCAGATGTCTCCTCAATTCTAAGCCAATCACATGAGCGCGTCCCCACGAGGGTATGATTTATTGCGTTCACTTCATGACACTTCATATACGCATTTTGCGCTGTCCGGAGCAGGGTTTCCGCGGACAGAATTTATTTTACCGGACAAATTTGAAACTTACCGGTCATGTTTCAATAATAATAAGAAGAAGAAGAAGAATTGTGTAGCAGAGTTTCCGTTAGCAGGTAATTACCGGACTATGACCGGATATGGCTAATAACAC